GGCCTCCCCAAAGCTTTGCAAGCCCCGGGGCTGCCCGGCTGCAAACCCTCTCCTCTGCCCTCCAGGACCATCGGTCCCTGGGGAAGGGGCATCACTTGTGCTTCCCTGCTGTCTCCGCCTGATGCACCAGGCTGTGCTTTGGCCCCGTGAGGTGCCCATGAGACAATAAAGCATGAAGTTCCTGAGATCTCTCTTGTGTTGGCATTTCCTTAAACTCCTCGTCCTTATTTTCCACGCACACCGTAGGGGTGCTGCTGGGTGTAGAGGAATATAGGCTCCACACAGTTACTAGCAGGCCATTATCTTAACCAGGGGAAGTCAGCCCTGAGAAAGCGCCCAGCCCTTCAGCGCACGTCCACCAGGAGACCATTCAACATTGCATTTTAGGGAGAATGATGTTTCTGTGTAAAACAGAGCTAGTGGGTTCAGCAAAGTCTTGACTTCTTGTGTTTTCTGAAGCGTCTCATGCATGTGCCAATGGCAGATGAACTCAGCAGGTATCGGCCTCCATGAGCTCCACTATGGGATGCAAAGAGTCAAGGGAAGAGCTGGCAGAGACAGAAGCCAAATCTGTCTCCCTGCACAGCCAGGAGCTGGCAGAGGTTCTGCTGGAAAGACAGGGCGGCAACCAGGGAAGGGGTTTTGCAGCTGGGAGCTGGGAGAAGCCTGGCCCGGATCAGTTACAGCCCTGCACAAAGGCGGAGTGAGGGGAGCCGGGGGTGCAGCCTTACCCTACTCTTAACCCCACTCACCCCAAGAAAAGCCTAGAAGTGATTACTAGCCATATGTTTTGAGATTCTTGCCTTTGCCTCTAAGTTCTTTATTGTTTAAAGATCTATTTATTTCCTGTAACCACAATAAAGAAGGGCAGAGGCTTCTCTGCTTCCATTTTGATGTGGTTTCTGCTTCTAACTGGAAGCTGAACAAACACATCTGAGAGGCTGGGGACTGCAAGAAGAACAATATCCGTTATGAAACTCAGTACATGGTTGGTTGCACTGGAAATACTCCTCTGTCCTTTCTCATTGAATGAATGAGGCCATCACCTGAAAAGCACATCGGCATTAAACTGTCCTGTGCAGAACATCGCCCCTGACCCAGGCAAGACCCAGCTGCTACTAATCTCCTCCTAAGGCAAAAACAGATTGCACAAGACTCTTGCACAGAAATGCCCTTGTCCTTGAGACTTTAGTCACTGGTTATTATTTTGGGTGGTAGGAGGGATGGATA